ATAGGACACAGGCACTGCTGGGACCTAAAGCACACATCCCACACCCCAAAATGCCCCCATAGCTCCCAGGCACTGGCACCTAAAGCACACACATCACTTACCCCAAAATGTGCCCATAGCTCCCCATAGGACATGGGCACTGCCACCTAAAGCACAGCCCCAAAAATGCCCCCATAGGACACGGACACTGCCACCCTAAACACACACATCCCACACCCCAAAAATGCCCCCATAGCTCCCAGGCACTGCCACCTAAAGCACACCCCCAAAAACGCTCCCATAGCTCCCCATAAGACACAGGCACTGCCACCTAAAGCACACACATCTCTCACCCCAAAAATGCCCTCACAGGTCCCAGGACACACATCCCTCACCCCAAAAATGTCCCCATAGCTCCCAGGACACCTAAAGCACACACATCCCTCACCCCAAAAATTCCCCCATAGCTCCCAGGCACTGCCACCTAAAGCACACACATCACTGACCCCAAAATGCCCCCATAGGACACAGGCACTGCCACGCTAAAACAAAAACATCCTTCACCCCAAAAACGCCCCCACAGCTCCCAGGAGCTGCCACCTAAAGCACACACATCCCTCACCCCAAAAATGCCCCCATAGCTCCCCATAGGACACAGGCACTGCTGGGACTGCAGGGCAGGACCCAAAGGATTCCCAAAATGAAAATTCACCCCCATCAGGAAGGATCCCCACAGGCAGGGTGTGTGCTGGGAGCTCTGGCAGGCACACAGGGGGGTTTCCCTGTGGGACATGGGCCACCTCAGGAGGAGGGAGAGAAAGATAAAGAGGAGGATGAGGAGAAGAAAAAGGAAGAAGGGGAAATTCCCTGTGTGCTTGGCCCAGCTGTCCCTGGGGGAAATTCCCTGCTGGGAAACACTTTCCCATTTTGCTCACTGATTTCCATAGCTGGGGGCTGTCCCAGGGAAGAGAAGGATGAGACTGGGGGACCCCAGGACAGAACAGGGCAGCTCCACATCCCAAAGCTGCCAGAACAAACAAGACCCTGTCACCCTCCACTCTGAGATGCTGCCAGCAGTGCAGAATCCAATCATCCCGACTATCCCAGCAAGGGACACTTTGGAGCAGTTGAAAAATCCACCCATGACCCCAACCCTGCTCTGGGTCCTGTGGGGGGACACCGTGTCCCCAGCAGCTGGAGCCAGGAATTTCACCTCCCCCTAGAGACCCATTTGAGGAGCCCCCAGGGCCAGGCCAGCACCATCCCTGGCCCGTTTTGTCCTGGAGTAACCTCTCCCAGCCTCACAGCTCCTCCAAGGCCTCTGGAGCCTGGTGAGGAGCAGCACCAGCTCCATCTGGATGGGACAGGCAGGGGCTGCCTGGGGGTGGGGGGTGTGGTGCACGTGCTGGCCAGGCTCTCCTGTGGTTTCCTCAAAGATCTTGGTGCCAAACACCAAAAAAAACACAGGAGACACAGCCCTCACTATGGCCTGTGGCCATTGGGCTCCCCCATACCCAGGAACCACAGCCCCCACCATGGTTAGCCCTGCCTGGGTACCCCAAATTCCA